GTAATCAACAAGGCCATTAGAGATTTCTCTTTGTGAAAACTGTCCCAACTGTATGTTCACATATAGCTTAATTATACCTTTTTTTTTTTTTTTGAGTTTCTAGGACACCTGCCAGGATCCCCTACAACACCCTTCTTTATGGCCCCCCTCCCTTTCTTTTCTGTACTCCCCATCTGCAAACTCCTAGGAGTCAAGGGATTGAGTGAATCACCCTAACAAATATTCACACAAAGCTTTGAGGAACTGCACTAATGACTCATTATCATGAAAACAAATGTCCCCAGAAACTGCTTTAACCTGCCTTCCAGCAAGCAGGGGAGCCTTCTGGGCCTTGAAACCATACCACATATGTGTGTCCAAGGCCAAACAAGAGACCTGCTTGCTTATGTGTTGAAGACGACATGTTCAAGGGAAAAGAATGTGGTGAGAAACTACATGCTACACATCCTTCTGTGAATGTACTTAAATTCACAGATATAGGCAGCTGGCAAACACAGCCCATCCCCAAATTAAGAGAGGATGGCATTTCAAAATGTCTGGTTTAGAGCTGATCACCCCAATAAGTACCCCCACCCTAAAGCCAATCAATGATGCAGAAAATAATTTCTTTGAAAATATTATGAAAGAAAGTCTCCAGGCACTAGATAAATTAAAACTGCTACTTTGAAGTAAATAGATTTATAACAAAAGTCATCAGCAGTGAACAAAATGCTCAAGTGGATGATATTAAGATCTGGCTTGACTCAATTGCTCCCCCTAGTGTACCGATAGTGTTCTTACCTTCATTATATTTCTATGCTGGCCAAGAAATGCACATCTCTAGTCTATTTTACCATGTATTGTTTTATCAGGTAGTTTTAAATCAACTTTGAGCATGGCAGAGTGTAAAAGATGACCTTTCTATTTCTTGAAAGGAGCTGATCTAAATCTTAATGACCCACCATGTCAGATACAATGGCAAGAAAAACAGTGGATTGCCCCTAACAGAAACGTGCAAAGTGAAAGCTTGTTCCACCAATGTTACTTTACCTCCTATTTCATGCTTTATGCATTACCTAGAGGTCATTTTTAAAATACATACTGGAGGTTAAACATGGACCTGGATAAAATATTCAAGGGATGTTCAAGAGCACAAAATTGGGTTAGTTCTAAATATTCCAAATTCGGGCTTGTGGATTGGTTAGGACACAGAAGCACCACAGGGTGTTTCCTTTTCTGTTTTCTCATGCTCAAGGGTGGCTTCATCAGTGCCTTTGTATTTACTGCATGTTTAAAAACACCAACTACATGCACTCTTAGGTGAAATCCAATTGTGCTTAAGAAGCTTGCAGGAGCAGCCTCAGAGAAGGGCAGGGAGAAGCTGGCCTCAATCCATTTGGTATGCCTGGACCTCACTTTACCAGTCATGAGCTGGATTTTCCAGATGTGTCTTCTGTGACTTAGTGGTTTATCCTTAGTTCCCATTTCAAAACTCTGAAACCTCCCAGATTGTTCAGCTGTTAAAAAGTTCCAAAGCAAGCAAATTCTTGGAATCTCACCCCTCTCTCCCTGCTGGAGCATATACACTAGGACTTTTCTCCAGCCAAAATAATAAAAAATCTTTTAAGTGGCTGAAATTCTTGGTGGATTGCACATACGTGCCAATGTCAGAAAAGTATAAATAGGGAGATTTACAAGAGAAATAGAATGAGTCTTCATAATTCCAATGAAATAAAATGGACTATTTTGGACAGTTAAAAAACAGGACATAATTTTATGAAATTCAGATTTGCCTCTATTTAGCCCCCAACCCCCTTTATGATGGAAGAGCTTCCTGGATCATGCATTTTTAGTATGAAGGAAGAAAGGGGCTTCCTTTCCTTTAGTGATGATCATTTTTATTTTTAAACTGATATTTTTCTTTATGTTTGGCTTTCCAATTTGGGCATCTACTGTATCTTTTGTTATCTTCCTTTACCACTGTTACATTATTAAAGAACATTAAAAAAATTCAGAAGATAAAATTATACCTATGGAGCTGGGCATGGTAGCACTTAAGAGGCACAGGCAGGTGATCTCTGTGAGTTTGAGGCCAGCCTGCTCTACAGAGTGATTTCTAGGACAGCCAGAGCTGTTACACAGAAAGACCCTGTTTCCAACCACTGCCCCAAATAAGGCCACTGATGTATGTGAAATCAGCTAAGATTTCCACTGGTGTAACCTAGGGCAGATATGGTAGCTTTTCACCAGTGTAACCCAGGGCAGATGTGATAGTTTTCCACTGGTGTAACCCAGAGCAGATGTGGCAGTTTTTCACTGGTGTAACTCAGGGCAGATGTGGCAGTTTTTCACTGGTGAACCCAGGGCACATGTGGCAGTTTTCCACTGGTGAACCCAGGGCAGATGTGGCAGTTTTCCAGTGGTGTAACTTAGAGCAGATGTGGCAGTTTTCCAGTGGTGTAACCCAGGGCAGATGTGGCAGTTTTCCACTGGTGTAACTTAGAGCAGATGTGGCAGTTTTCCAGTGGTGTAACCCAGGGCAGATGTGGCAGTTTTCCACTGGTATAACTCAGGGCAGATGTGGCAGTTTTCCAGTGGTGTAACCTAGGCCAGATGTGGCAATTTTCCACTGGTGAACCCAGGGCAGATGTGGCAGATTTTCACTGGTGTAACCCAGGGCAGATGTGACAGTTTTCCACTGGTGTAACCTAGGCCAGATGTGGCAGTTTTCCACTGGTGTAACTCAGGGCAGACGTGGCAGTTTTCCACTGATGTAACCCAGGGTAGTTTTCCACTGGTGAACCCAGGGCAGATGTGGCAGTTTTTAACCGGTGTAACCCAGGCCAGATGTGGCTCATATGTGAGCTGGATTACTTGTGATCAGCTACTTAGATTGAAGGTTCTCCTTCTCAAGGAACCTTTGCTCTCTTTGGCAGGCTAACATCCCCCAAAGTTTCCACAGATCCGACAATGCCTACCTTTAAAGGCATTGTTACTTAATTTTGAAACTTAATGTTAATAATATTGTTACTTAATTTTGAGCAGCAACCTATTTTTGTTTTTGTTTGGGGATTAGCTTACCATAATTATTAACCAAATAATTTGAATTCTTGAAAATAATTTTAAGTCCATTATATAGTACAAGCTATTTCATCAATTGTTTCAGTTCAGTAATTGTCTACAAATTTAAAAAAATTCTACAACTTAAAAATAGTTACTAGTACATATATACATTGTACAATGTTATTGGATTTCATATCTTCATTAAAACATATCATGTCCTTTACCTTACATACCTACACTATTCTCTCCTATTTTCCCAGATTGTAGTTCTTTCTTTCTCCTTTTTGAATGGTGACATTTCTACTTTTATGCTATTTGTGGGTTTGTACAAAATCTAGCCTCTATATATAATAGAAAACATGCCATATTTATTTCTCTGACTAATGTATTTTGCTTAGTATGATGTTTCCAGTTCCACCTACCTTCCTGCAAAAGGACTAATTTCAGAATGCAGCCTGAAGAGGGTGTGCCTCCCAGGGAACTGAGTGAGCCTTCAATTGCTGAGAACAGCTAGTATATGAGCATGAATGAGCCAGGTATATTCCACTCAGGAACATATACAATGGAATACAAGTCAGCCTACTACAGAGATGCTTGCTGTGCTGTGATTAGCAGGGCATGGTTCATAACGGCCAACTTAAGACATTGACCTTGGTGTCTATCAATACATGAAGAAATAAAGAAAATGTGGTATGCAAATACAACGGAACTCTATCTATCAATGAACAATGAGAGAGAAAATACATGATACATTTGAAGAAAAGTATCATGGAATTCATCACTTTGTACAATGCACATACACTAATAATGAAAATAGCTACATGCATTATTTTTTTAAGAAAAGATCTGTAGGAGGCAAAAATGATCATACCAGCCATTTTCCTAAATACATAATTAATTTTGAAATATGGTTAAATCTTTAAATTATTGCAGAATGTAATATATTCATCTTAAGATTTTCTCACTATCAGCTGCCTACCGTGTCTGCTGACAGCATTGATTAAATGCATTCTTATATAAAATTTTTCCTCTTATTGACATAATCAGCAATGACCCAAATTAAAATGTCACATCGGTACAAAGACTGTTCTACCAGATTCTCTACAGATAACATGTTAGAATGAGTGATAGTTTACTTAATCAAAGGAGTTACAGTTACATTTTCTGCAGTGTGGTATTTGAAATGTGACGTAAAAGCTAAAAGGGGACAACTTGGCCTAACTCCTGGTGATCTGCTAACAGGTTGAAATGTAATCAAGACTCCTGGATGACTTGTAAACCCCAAGCTTTTCAAACCAATAAATACATTTATTTTATTTACTAGTTATTCTCATGTATGTGGGTATTTGTGGACGACTACATGTAGAGGTCAGAGGACAGCTTTGTGGAGCCAATTCCCTCCTCCTACTTTCTTGTGGGTTCTGGGGATTAAATTAAAGTTGTTAGGACAGTGTGGCAACCTTTCAAACCATCACACCAACCTTCATGCAATAAGATCAGATGAAATGAGAGAAATAGAAAAAAAGAGAGTATATATACTTTAAGTGATTCATTTACCTGTCTCCCCAGTGTGGTGTAGAGGGGGAAAGTAGGTTAATTGGAAAAAAAATTATTTTTATCTAACTCAGCAATAGTCCTCATACCATTTGTTATAAATCTGTTACTATAGTGTATTTTGTGTTATTCTTCCAATACTAAATACTTCCCAGCACTTAGTTACAAGATGGACTACAGTAGATTCTAGAATTTACAATTCTCATACAATGCCACATTGCTCTAAAGAACCCAAATACACTGGCTATTGACTGTCTGAACATGGTAGATGGTATGCAGTAAGGATTAATTTGTGTTTAAGTGAATGGATGGATACATCAGTGAATAGAGGAAGTATGCTGTGACAAACTCACTCAGCAAGTTTCAGATTTGGGAAGGGGAGCACCATCTGTGTACAGACTTACTTATTCCATGCTTGTCTGAGGCTTTTAGAGCTGTACACCGTAAAGCGTTCTGAAATAAAAGAGAAAAACAATAAGCAATCTATTTATCAAATGTATACATCACAAGTCTGTTGAAGAAGATAACCCGTTAAGAGTCTCACTTGCAGCAAATCCTCGCTCCCTGTGCCTCCCAAGTTGAGGGTTCAAGGCCATGCACCACCGCACTCAAGAACAGTCAGCATTGTCAAGAGACTCTGCTTGATTTGACTGTAGTTACACATGGGCATAGAAGGACCATACCCTTTAGATAGAGTAGTTTATAAATAGTGAAACTGGAGGAACGTGACCCTGACAACAATGAAATACTGTTATCTAGCCCAGTGTGATTTCTTTCACAAGCTAGTCTGTTCATAGTTATTAATGAATGAATTAAAAAAGTAAGTACATATTACAGTTTCAGAACAATATGTAGCTTTACAGAAGAATATCGGCACACTGGACAAGAGAAACTTGCTGACAAACTTGTATCTTCAAGCAAATGTAGCAGTGTTGAATCTCTGACGTTAGTATACATGGTAGTCATGCATGTTCAAAGCCAGACTACCTGTGTCCATTCAATGATGTATATGTTTATGTAAATCAATTATGAGATTTTTAAAATTAAAATTATACTGAGTTAAACAATGGACAAAGAATTAATTTTAGTAAGTTCAACTACTTTCTCTTTTTTCACCCCTGATAAAGTACAGTTGCTAGATTTGATATGTCTCTTCCCACATATGGATCTTCTGTCTACCTATCTCTCTCTCCCTCCCTCCCTCTCTCATGTGTATGTGTTTCTATCTTTTTAAAGAGGATGTGCAGCAAATATCCCAAACACATTATGAAAATATATACAATTGTCTTAAAGATATATAGCACTCCAGAGGACAAAGGACCACAACAAATCTGCTGAAGTCTGAGGAAAAACTTTTAATGTAAGGGCAATGTCTTATGTCTTAAGCTAAGTATTATTATAAGTCTAAAGGTTTTAAAATCTTAAAAATTTAAAGTATAAAAGCTAGAATAAGCTAAGATGACTTATTGCTAAAGAATGAAAACTAGCTTTTATAGATGTTCAGCTGAAGTGCAGTGTACTGTAAAGTCTACAACAGTGGATGATCATGCCATCAGCCTTCACACTTACTCCATTTAGAGTAAGTGTTCCACACAGGTGTACATCATTTACTACTTTTGTACTATATATTTTTGCTATACTTCTCTGTGTATACTTAGATACACAAATACTGTGTATGGTAACATGTAACTGTTATGCAGCCTTGGAGCAATAAGCTATACCACGTAGTCCAGCAAAGAAAACTATACTGTCTAGGTCTGTGTAAGAACACTCCATGATAGTCACACAAAAAGTACAACAAAAATCGCTGAACAATTTCTCAAAACATATTATTGTAGTTAAACATGTACGCATGTGCATGTGACTAAATTTCTAATATTGCATAGCTCTTGATTTGTTTGTTCAAAGATGGCAAACAATGATGGTAGGTATGTGCTACTCACTAACTATTATCATTCTCCAACAATTTGAAATTACTCCTTTACTCTATTCTGAGGTCTAAAATACACCAGAGCACAGAATATTTCATGGTCATCTGTTTATGCTACTGATGTATTATCTTTTCTTTCTTTCTTTTTTTTAAGTTTCTTGAGACAGGGTTTCTATGTGTAACTTCTGTGGCTTTCCTGAAACTCACTTAGGCTGGCCTCAAACCCACGGAGCTCCACCTGCCTCTGTTCCTTGAGAGCTGGGATTAAAGGTGTACCACCACCACCCAGTAGTGTTGTATTATCTTAACCACAGTACTTCATGTTTTCTTTTAAAAAACTTATTTTTCTTATTAGAATTTGTCTTATATAAATGGCTACCTTACATAAGTGACGATAAAATAAAATTATTCCATTTTTTCATTTAATATTAAATAACTACATAATGTATTAAGTATATTTTACAAAGGCTTTTGATTTTGGAATTATGTTAAGTGTCATCTGAGTTTACTTGTGCAAATGGTCCATTGTTAAAACATATCCAGATTTACTTGCAAATTGTTATGAAATTCTTAAGCAACAACTTTACTTCAACATAAAAATGATGCCAAAATGAGTCCAAGTGATCAAATTATCAAGCGAAGACAGAAAGAAGAGGAACATTTCCAGCCCCTGCAGAGCAGGGTGTTGATTGACTGTATAGAACTTCTTCTTAGGGTGATGAAATGTTCTAGATATGGATGGTGGAAATGATTTCATGTTGTTGGGAATTATACACCCCAAATTCATTCAAATAAGTATGTAACATGCATCAACACAACAGTAACAAAAATGCACTCTGGAGCCTGAGTTATAGTAAGAAAACATCAGACAAACTCTAAATATTCCTTTATTCATAGGCTCCACATCACTTTCCGTAGATGGCTCTGGTGCCTAGGATACGGGAATGAGCAAGACAGAAAAGACAGCATTCCTCTTGGATCTTACATTTCCTCTAGTTCAAGAGAGATGGACAGTTAAATGCCAATACCGCCATTCAGTGCACCAACACCACCACCAGGAAAATGAACATGCTGGATTTCAAATGTGTAAGTGCTGAGAAAGTCAAACGTTGAGCTGTGAGACTGAGTGTGGCACACTCTGGTTGGGAAATGAAGGCAGGCAAGTGTTAATATATTGAACCAACCAGATATGCTGAGTTCCCATTGGGAATCTTTATGGAATCTCACAATGATGCATTTTTCTGAAAAGATAGTATGTAATCTCTGTTCATCCTGCTGTGCCCATGTGCACATCACTCAGGATCAGCACTCAACTTAATTTTCCAGGACGACTGATTTCTTTTTAATGATTCATATTGAATAGGTATAATTTAGTTGCTGTCTTTGTAGGTACTATCTTGTCAGTATTGTCTTCTTTTATTTATAAGCTGTGATGGAGGAACTCTAACTGACTTATACTGTTTTTGTTATAGGATATTGTATGCCTAAGAATACTATCAGATTAGAAAAGCAAATAAACAAAGTAAAAAAAAAACCCATAGCTTTTTATCTCTAAACCAGAGTTATTAGAAATACCTTGCAGTTGTCTACCCACTCATACATACAAACATACAAACACCCATTCATTCCTTCATCCATCCATCATCCATCCATCCACCCAGCCACCCTCTCACCCACCCATCCACCCTACCCATTCTGTAACCACAGTACCTCATATTTTCTGTAAAAAGCATCTTTGTCTTATTAGCATTTGTCTTATATAAACTGCCACTCCCTTATATAAGTGTATGGAGAGTCAGGCAGACTTCTTGGGACTAAGGATACAGAAGGGAACCAAGTATAAAAGAATCCTGCTTGTAGGGACCTGGCACTCCAGGGAGGGTGTGCAAAGCTGGAGTGGGCCGAAGGCCAGGGCAGCTGAAGCAAAGAATGCTGGAGAAGGCAAAGAAGGGCAGAGCTGATACATGCTTTTCCCTTTTAGAGACCACACAGGCCATTCAATCTTTTCATTTAGAGAATGGAGCCACAGCTGTTTGAGACTACGGTGATGGAGTGAATCCACAGCTGTCAGGGGCTGCGAGCACGTGACTCAGACTATGGTGACTGAGTGAATGCAGTGAAAACCAGGGCCAGAATCTGAAACACTCAGAAGGGAAGTCTGGTACTGCTTACCAATGCATTGCACGAAGGTAGTCTAGATGACTGGCAAAACACCTACAATTTCTTAACTTTTCAGGTTTTAAAGGCATTGGTATTTCATGCACGGCTTAAGTAGTGCTTCAAGTGGGCCATCTGACAGTGCTTTATAGTGTGTAAGGCACAGGTGAGGAGAAAAGAAACAGGAACCAGACAGTGGAGCCAACCATCCTCCTAACTGTAGACATTCACTGTTATGAAGACGTGTTCCTCGACGGTATCTACACATTTCAATAGAAAGTATCATTTCTCACTTATTCTTTACTGGGTAGCATTAAAGGTACAATGGAATTCAGGCAGTTAGTGTAGTAGAACTAATTAAAGGATTATTCTATGTTTGAGAATGAAGTGACAAGAAAAGGAGAAAATGGGAATAATAGTTCTTTGTTAAAGTTTGTAGAAAATATTATTGAAAGTCTGACATTAGGAAAGCAAGACAGATTTCACAAGTTAATTACATGAAATGTCCTTGTAAAACAAATTTGATTCTCTTAACTTTGTAGTCCCAACAAAGCAATGTGAATAATTCACTACCACTCAAGATGAACAACTCTATTATAGATAAAACCAACACAATCCCACATTTATTAGTAAGTTATTATTCTTACCAATTAAAGACTACACATAAATATTAGTTCTAAGCAATTCCTCCATTTAGCGCTTGACAGGATATGCTAATGGGATTTTTTTAGAACAGTAGTCTGAAACATGTCACATAACACAGGGGTAAAAGCAATAAAAACATGAAGCTTCATTGTTACATGTGCATCACTAAATACATGCACATCTCCATCCTGTCAGCAAATATTCCCTATGTGATTGCCAGCACTGGGCACACAGAGTTGATTCCAGTTCATATCCATCCGTGTGTATCAATACAAAATTACAGATGCAGGGTGGGAAATGGTACCTCATGAACACAGACAAAGCTCCTGAAATTAGAGTTTTGGTATCTCTTTTCCACGCAAAGACAAAATAAACTCAAGAATCTGTAGCTAATCCAGGAACACACAGGATTTCCTGCAACCCACACCATCCTAACTAGTGAGAAGCACAGCTTTCAGCACAAGCAGATTTAATGTCTGGAAACAAAGTAACTTTAAATGATGCCTGGAATCAGAAGTCGGTGTATTTTATAACAGTACACTCCCTGTATGTAAATGGGATCTCATTATTCATGCATTTACATATGCATGCACTGCACTGTTCACCCTCAGTTGAATGTACTCTGGTTTGCTTCTGTCATGGCAGTTCAATCTTCCCAATCTGTTTCAACCAGGGGTTTATAGTGTCCTTAAGGAGCTGGCTCAGTCAGCATCAGCAAGGA